TGATTTACATCCACTGTAAATAATACGAGGTTGGAAAGAAATATAGCACCTGCATCCATGTGTCTTCCATATGACGTTCAGGTGATGTTTCTGGGGATGAAATTGCAGGCGGAAGAGGATGAATAAGCTTTGGCACTACTACTAAATCCCTACCCAGTACCAAAATAGCACCAGCATTATTTGCAGTACCTGTGGAAAAGAATGTGGAGAGAGAGATAGAGAGAGTTAAGATACGACAAACGAATAATAAGATATTAAAGAGCTAATATCAACATTTGTATGTAAAAGTGCATACCACAGTAGTTTGTGGCTGAAAAGAGAGTAATTAAATGTCCCTGAGCAAATCTTTCAAATCCATCCATCACACATTCGTGTGCTCGAACAATCAATTGAAGATCGTTGTTGTTACAGAATTCCATGACACGATCAGGCTGCAACAGAGAGGGAGAAAAAAACCAAAACATCATTAGTCAAAACAATGAGTGAATACTCCCTCTGTCCAAGATTAGTTGTACTTTTAGCATAAAGTAGGGTACGCATGGTTCGGGATGGTCTGGGATTTGGCCTGCCCCATCCCCACTTTATGAACCGAACTGGATCAGTCCATATGGGAACTTATGGATAGACCTGTATCCCGGGACAATGCCAATGTGTGACCATTTTTTTTTCTTTTAATATATCAATTTTCACTTTTCACCAATGGATACAAAATGGACGACGGAAACTATCATACAAACTCAATATTCAATAAAAGTTGGGCATAACATTAGTTTTCAGCTCAAGAATGAAAAACCAACATCACTACTTTGAGTGTAAAAAAAATGTAGGCATAAAGCTGGGGCCGATGGTTTTGGGACCTTCTGGTTCTTTTAGCCTCTAGGGTGTGTTAGTATATAAAATAACTCAATCCATACTCAAAATCTAACTCAACTCTAACTAAACCCCAATATCCTCAATATTATCAGTATAATTAAATAATATCAGCCAATTATTCTTTCACATCATATACTAAACTTTAATTTGCTATTCATCCACTCACATAATTTTAACTAACCATCACTTCATATCATTTCTTTCCTACTTTTATATCAAATCAACTTTAAAGATTTTATTTTAAATATTATTAATATAAACTCAAAATTCCACTAACAACTAACCATACCACTTTTTACAAAATTAACCAATGTTAACCAAACCAACTCATTTTAAACGATATATTTGTATACAATCACGACCTTAGGGAATTAGGTCTTCAATACTTTTTAAGTGTTATAAAGTACCATATTAATATATATTACATATAATAGATATTCTATATACATGCATTTAAACCGTGACTAACATTCACAAAATATGTTTGGGATTATCGTGAGCAACATTATAATCAGAAATTACGAAAAACTTGAATTTCATAAGATTGAAATGGAAAAAATGCAATACAACATGTAAACTAAGGCTAGATTCTGACTCATCTTTAAGACAAATTGTCTCGCCAGGTGCTCATGGTTAACAACAAACGTCTCTCAACCTACAATGGTCTCTTCCTTTTACTGTAGTAGCATTTCAAAGGATAAGAAACAGTGAACCTCAAGTGTTTTGTAGTTTGTACTATCCCTTGAAACTCGACTCTAATTAAAAATGAGTGGGTACATGCATATGATATGACTACTTGTACGTTTATGTATTTCCTTTTGTGTTTGTGCTCATTGCATAAGTACGTGGGGTATTTACATATAGGAAAAAAAAATCATTCTTTCCAACCTGTATTATGCATGGTTTTGATTTGCAACCTAAACTTTGTGTTTAGGTAAATTGCAACTTATATTACACAAATGCATTGCAACCTCTACCCTAAAAATGCAAGGAAATTTGCCGGAATAGAAAAGTTGTCCAGTGTGGCAAACTAATAGACGACACAAATTAATAGACAACAGAGGACGTATCATTTGTTTGACTTCAGCAAAGGGGGTTCCAGAATCAAATGGTCCAACGAATTTCCTCACATTTTTCATCTAGATGTTGCGATGCATAAATTTCATATAGTATAGATCACATTTGAAAAAATAGTTTAGGATGCAAAAGTCAAAACCATGTATAGTACAGATTGGAACGAATAATTTTCCCTTACATATATCCAAGAGTTTCAAGTAAACTACTTAAGTAACTAATAGACGCCTTTTCATTCCAAAGGCCACCACCGAAAGTTGCATTATTTGATGAGTAGACGCGTAGGCACAAGCAAATTATCGTGTCTACTAAAAAGACCCTTACAAAAGACCAAATCGGCTGAAAGGCCTACTTAAATCCAAAGAGGAAATAAATCATCTCTTTTATTTTATTGTGTAAAATAAAATGAAATCCAATCAAGTAAAAAAAATCTAGTATCCGAAATAATCACAAGTTGTTGCGTTTTAGTAAATTTCTAATTCACCCACAATTTTTTATTTACCAAACAATATAATCATCTACTCTCACAACTCACAAGTAGAACATGATGGACCATTTCATCAATCAAATGAGTATTCACAATTTAATCAAATTTGCATCACAATATATGAAACCAATACCGGCATTTGGTTTAAACGGGCCGATTCAGGAATAGTACCAAGACAAAGAGAACCGGAAGAGACCACATCGGGTAAGGTCAGTACTTGAAAACCAGTTTTTTTACTCACCCTAGCAATACTCCTAACATAATTGTCGGTTTATAGAATCAATGAAATAATTTCACATTTCCCTCTCACTTTACCTTAAACTTTCTTCATGTGCATACTTTTTACTATAAGCACTAAATGGAAATTTACGGCTCAACCGAAACAAGGACAGACGTCTCATTCTACTATGTTTCTTAATTTTTGTGAAACTTTCTAAAACAACAAATGGTTTAGGAAGGGAGTAATAAATCCTTAACATGAGCTGCTACTTGCTAGACCCATGCTTGAACACTTCCAAACCTCAAGGGCAGAATCATCTCAAGCATAAAAAAATTTCAATCGAAGTAAAGAGGGAGAAAAGAAAAGAAAAAGGAAAACGAAAATAAAAAAAGAAACTCACCCCAAAGGTTACTAAACCAGGACCTCTTGCATTTGGCCGCAATCCTTCTACACTGTCGTTCTCAGTGGGATCAGACCTACAGGAAAAGAACCACAATTACAAGATGACTTAAAAGGCATTATTTAATACCGATCAAAACAAAAAAGGCACTATTTAAAACAAAGGGAAAAGGAAAAAAGATGTATCAATTGACACTAACCACAATAAGTCCATCAGAACAATCGATCCTGCCTCCATTGGAATCGGACGCTGGATGTTCTCAATCTGCTCGACATGGTTTATGGATCTCCCAATTCCACCGTGCATACAAATAATCTTTTTCTCGATTAACGCGGCCAGTGGAAGCCAGTTGAACAATCTGTTTATCCTATGCCATGCCCATATTCCATCTCTCTCTCCCTATTTAGGAACAAACATTAGTTCCAGATCATTCCTTCAAATTAAATATCTAAAGAAATGGGGGAAAAAGGAAAAGCTTTATTTATTTACCATACGCTCAATACACTCAATTCGAAAGCCGAAAAGAGCATTGATATCTGCAGCCTCATGATTACCACGTATCAAATGTACTTGATGAGGATACTCCACCTACATAGTTGAGAGTATAGTAAAATTATCATTTTAATTTGAAACACTAGCGAGGAGAAAGATTATAACCAATCAAATAGTGGATAATGGATCGAACAACTCAAAAAATTGAGCACTGCGTACCTTCAAAGCAAGGAGAAGAGTAATGGTTTCCAAGCTGTGCTGGCCACGATCCACATAGTCTCCTAGGAAGAGATAATCTATATAACTGAAACACATTTAACAAAAATAATTATCACCCAAAACAATATGTGTGTGTGTGTGTGTAAGAGCAGACTAGTTAACATAGATCAAGCAACAATAATAATGTTAAAAATGTCCAGGCCAGTTTTCATTTATAGACAGGAGAATTAGGATATAAAGGGAGTGGTGATCTCCGTAGATATTAAATCAATTAGGTGTTTCACAATTTCATCTGAAAGTGAAAATTACACTACAACAGGACCGGAAAGAAACAGCCAAAGGAAAAAGTGAGACTCATAATTATAATGCAAGCAGTTTAAATAGGTCATTCTGGAAACTCACGCTATGTCTCCCGCAGTCGACGGTGATCCATACTCATCAAAAAGCCGCATGAGATCTCCAAATTGCCCGTGTAAATCTCCAAATATCTTGATAGGGGCCCTTAGCTGTAGCACGCTAGGTTCACTAGCAAATATTCTCTCAGCACTATCACAAAGATCAGCAATCTCATTGCAGTCCAAGAAAAACTGTCTCCGAACCGGAGGCTTCCAACCACGAGGCTTCAGAAGATGAGCAATAACCTGGGAGGGAGATGAAAGTGAGGATGAAACAAAAACTAGTGAATTATCTAATATACAATTTAACACTCTCTCCATCTCATTTTGATAGTCCCCTCCGTTTCCTATTCTAATGTTCATGGAATGGTAGTCCCCTCTGTTAGATAAATATTTTTTTTCCTTGTTATACTCCTATCCAAAGAGGGAATTACCCATCTTTCAAAGTAATTGATCAATATAGGGTTTAGTGTAAATAGGGTATAATAGAAATATTGTGTAGTTTTTATTTTATGAAGAATATTAAATGCATTCGGTAACCTATGCGGAAATGAAAAATGTGACTGTCTTATCAGGACAGAGGGTCATGTTAATACGTAATATACCAAAATTTGAATTCACGAGTATAATTATAATATAATGCTGAAACAAATTGCAGGAGAAATAATAGGAAGCAAAAAAGATTAAAATGCATATAACTTTTTAGCTCTCATTCTTACAAGAAAAATGTCTCACTCATTCCTCTTATAAGGGAGAATGCAAGCACCAGTAATTGCCGATAATTCAATTAACAAGCCATCTATTCTTTTCTACTCTCATCACCACAAAGCTGATACCATTGGTGCATAAAAAACTAAAAAAAATGAAATTCCAAGGGAAATGAGAAGTGTATACCTTCTTAGGTACACTATTAACTGACATTTGCCTATCTAGAAGTTTCCTAGCTGCTGTAGCGCTTTCCGGAGTTCCATAACTAACCCGCCTGCCTTCATTTTCAAACTGATCAATTGAAAGCTGTCTGACCATACCGCCTAAAGCACCACCAGTCTCTGCAGCCACAACCACCTGCAAATATTGCATAAATTAAAAGAGAACGAAAATTAATGAACAAAAAGAGTGATTACTGGAGTAATATATATTTCTCGTCCAGATACTCACGGCACGGTGATGAAGCCGAACTCCAGCTGGCATGGAGTTATTTGAAGTCACAGGCTCGGGTTTGATCAATGTTGTTATTTGTTTTCCACTGGGTGTCGCCTCAGCCCCACGGTCTCTATCCGGAGTGTCGACAACATCTCCATTAACCTGTCGAGCTTTGGCAGCCGCCAGTGTAGCACTAATAGCCTCAGCTTCGGCTGCAGCAGCCTCAACCAAGTACTCAACACCTTTGCTCAGTGACCTACACAGTATACAATACTTAGTCCTAGAAAAACAAGGTAAAATATGACTTGCTATTTTTTTATTTCAATTGCCCATTAAACATTTGTAAGAAATGACATCCTATTTGTTTCTGAACATTAAAAAAATAAAGAGCTAGGATGTTAAGATATCAGCAGTTTCCGCATCTCAAACCCATCAATCACAATCATGTTTTACATGCGGGCCACGACCTACAATCTTTTACATTATAAATCCAATCAAAATACTGAAGTGGGCCATTCATTAAGAAATAATATTTCAAAACTAATAGCCCAAACACAATATCAATGTTAGTACAGAGACCAACAAAACTCTCCTTCATTTTCCAACACTAGAAACTAGAAATGTAAAGGAAAACGTAATCGTACAAGGCCACAGCACTAACCTGGAATGGTGAGTTACGTTTTCCGTGCTTATATCTGTGTATATATCGCCATTCTCTGGGGGCGCAACGGGATTTCCAACAACAACCGCACCATCAGCATTAGAAGCATCTGGCACATCAGGTGCCTTTATTCTGCCTTCAGTAAACCCATATCTGTTTTGCATTCTCCCTTGCTGCAGATTGGATGCTGCAGCTACTGCAGCAGCATGGGAAGCCGCGCTGGTTGTTTCGGCAGCGGCAAGGTCTTCGGCAACCAGTAAATCATCGAGCAGTACACCTGTGTAAGCATTTATTGTTTAATAAAGTTATTAAAATATAACTTGGCCTCAGAGTCTATACAATTACACCATATCTGCACAAAGGGGAGTGCTGTGATACATATCATATACAAAGTTCTGTTGCTAAAGCTTTCGGAGGAATCAAACAATGGCCTGATATGGAACTGAAAGGTTGCGAGCAATATAAAATGTCTTTATGACTCGTTGCAAATTTTGATTACTATTTTTCCAACAACAGGAAGCAACATGAGTACTGCACTAAAAAGTTGCCTATAATTGTTCTACAACTTAACTAATCTCATAAACTCATAATATTCAATCAGATCATTTATTAGCAGAGCTCTCTTCAGAATGATGGAGACAAGAAGCAATCATCAATTTATAAAAAGGTCATTCAGTGGCAACATTAAAGATCTTGGATTTAATATCAACGGAGTAACTGGAATAGAACCAAGGCTTCTATCTCTATAGATTCCAACTTCACTCCCATCCATTTATTCAACCTTCTTCCGAATTACAAAGACCTCTAAGTCAATATACGAATCGATATAAATCTATTTATATATATATATATATTCCATTTAACAAATTCACGTCTCACCGCCACGTAGACCACCGTATATGAAGATCAAGTCACCGACAGCAGCAGCAGCATGCCGGCAGCGTCTCGTCAACTCGACAGCCGCATCCCCACCTGCGGCATCGGCACTGTACCTTCCAGTTCTCGGACTCGTGACCACTGACTTTGTGTCACACCACACTCCAGCTGCAGTGTCCAACACTGCACAAGCCAACAAGAATTTTATTCAGAAATTGATCCTCTCTCTTTAATAAAAAAAAAAAAAGTACCTAATGAATAACTTTTTTCAGAACGCAACGCATCTTAATAGAGAGAGGTTCCAATAATAGGGAATTACCAGCCACACTCGAGGAGTCCTCAACCATGCGCCCTCCACCAAGTGCACCTCCCGACACATGCAAACGCGCATTAACAAAAACCTATAACACCACCATGTAATCATGAATTTTTTTACTGCATGTATTATTGGTTTTTTCTAATAAAGTAATAACTCAAAATATTCTGTGAAGTAAAATAACTGGAGCAATCTAAAGGGGGAAAACCAATAATAAATAAATAAAGTAATAAACTCACTGCTGCATGCTGATATCTCGAAGACGGTGAGACACCAGGGGCAATAGCCCACTCCCACCGACCGTCTCTATGTTTGGCAAGTCCATACGCACTGGCCAGTGGCTACATATATTGGACAAACCAGTCAAAGGTCGAAAAAATAAGCAAAGTTGCAATGCTGCATATCAAACACTTGGAACCATCAAGGTTCAGTATAAAAGTTGTTTGCAAATTGACCTTAGTTTCCAAACAGGAACAGCGGTAGTCAGAAAACAAGCATGTGATTCAAAAGAAAAAGAACCACAGCTCCTGTTCATTTCAATAACCAAGACTGAAGCAGCTCTCTATGAAAGCATGCCACTCAATGGAAAGAAATAAAAAATAAAAAAGCATACATATAACAAGAAACATTAAAGGGGGAAAAGCAAAACTACAATGTAGCAAAGGACAAGGTGGATTTCAATAAGCTCAGATTTACCACACTATTTGCATCTCTCCCACCACAGAGCAGAAGAAGACCATCAGAACGAGCACTGGCAGTGGCATACCTGGACAGGTAGCAAGAAAGATAAAAATCAACACTTGAGCTCATGTGGCAAAAAAGGGCCCATGAGTAAATAACCTAGAACACAAGGTTGTTTCAATATTAGTAGGTTCAAACAATGGTTGCCTAATTCCAGCACCTTTTCAAATACTTATGCAAAGAGTGAAAACGGATAACAAAGTAACATTGTTTTGTAACTGAAAAGGGCAGATTACATAATGTAATGTTAGAACTGAACGGAGTAAAATTGCATATATTGTACTCAGACAACGTAAAATTCATCCTCGATCATTAAGAAAAGTTTAACCAACTCACATGCAAGGAGGTGGACCTTCACCCTCGGGTTCGAGTTTCCGCCATTCATACGGCTTTGCAGCGGTATCCAGAGCCCATACATCAGCTAAAGGTCGTTTTCCTAATATAATGCACCAATTTGTTTGCCCACAGAAATTACAAAAGCGAAGAAAGGTAACGGCATAATTGACACAACAAACACAATTGAAACGTAACAAACCATCATTTCCACCAATTGCCATGAGATAACGTTGTCCCACCAAAGCCATGACATGCCCATAGCGTGGACCTGGCCCAGGACCATGGACCACAACCCTAATAGAAATTAATATACAATCTAGTGAACACAGAACGAAGTAAATGAAATGATAATGAGCAATCGTGCCGATGGATCACTCAAAAAGCTTGATAAATATACGTTAGTGGTAACATAAAACGAACCTATGCCATCTTGGTCGTTGTTGTGTAAGGTCTAGAACATGAAGATCTTCAGCCGACAAACCAGCTGGACCAATCCCACCCTATGATGGAAAATAGCATTAATCTTACATCACCAAAGTTAAGAATTTCAAATAAAAATAATACAAATAACAATAGTAATATATTAATTATTATAAAGTATCAAAGATATTCCAAGCGTTAACAGACCTGAATGACAACCATGGTACCTACAGCAGTAGCCACGTGGGCTGCTCTAGGTGTAGGCGGTTCTCCAATAGGTGTAACTCTGCCAAAATTAATGGTTCATGTCTTATATAAAGAAATAAACTACAACTAAGAGAAGCAAGAACCACCGCAAATTAGACCAGAGATCTGCGATTAAGAAGTTGTGACAAATATTTTGTAAAAGCTTACCGAGACCATTTATTTGTCAACACATCATAACAATGCACATCGGCAGTTGCACCGGCTAAGCCTGCAATAAAATGCTCGCTTAGGTGACAATTACAGCAATAGAAAAAATAAAAAAATAAAAAGATTAAAGAAAAATATGTTGATGTTTAAATGAAGAACAACTTAGCCTCATTAATTATCACAAGCACTGGGTATATATGTAAACAAAAATGCTGGTTTGAATAAACTGCCATATATACTCCATCTTTTGAATTGAACTTAAGTTTTCCACTGGAATTTCAAATGTTAACACAAACAGGCATAAATTTTTGCTGGTTTGAATACAAACGCTGGATATATATATTTGCATTTAACTTAAGTTTTCCACTGGAATTATCAAATGTTAACACAAACAGGCATACATTTTTGCTTCAACGAACCATCACAAACTAGAACAGTTGGAAACAGTTTGGTACTCCCACTTGAGCCAAATAACTAAATCAAACATTGATGGCATGGCAGCAAATTCGCTCTTATCTCTGACTCCTCATTTTTTAAGTATAGAACAGTTAATAATAAACAAAACTAGCTGTCTTCAAAGTTCAATCTGCTTAATTGATCTTTCATCAAACACATAAATAAAATAAAAAATCAACCCAAGAAAAGTTATGAACTCAATCAAGTTTGGGCCCGGACTCAACTGAAGATATCCAACGGTAGCAGCAAAAAGACAACCTTTTCACACACAAATAAAAAATACTGAAAATCTCATATAACATGAAAAATAAAAAATTAAGAATTAAGAATCAGAAATAATGTTATACTGAAAAAACAA